GGGGGAGGGCGGGAGGATGGCCACGCCGAGGGGGGGTCAGTGAGGCCCACCGAGGGCGCGGGCAGGGGAAGAAAAAGAAGGAAGAGAAGGAACAAACGCCACCGCGTAAGCGGCCCGGCCCGGCCCCGACGCACCTCCTTCGCCAGGGACGCCTCCCGGGGGTCGGACCCCGAGGCGGACGCCGCATCAGGATGCGGGCGCTTGCGCGACCCCGGCTCGGACCCGCCGATGCCGAGACCACGCGCGGTGTCCGCCGCGCCGGCCTCCCCCAACACCGACCGGGCCATGTCGGTCACGGCCCGGAAGGCCGCCGCGCGTTCCAGGCTCCCGGCCGCCGTGCGGCCATCCTGGTCCACCTCGGCTGACAGGTCGTCAATGAAGTCCGCCGGGCCGGCGCCAAACTCGCTGGTCGGCCGCGAGGCGGACACCGTCTGGGCGATGGCCGACGCCACGGAGGGATTCTGCGCGAAGCCATACGGGTTCGGCAAGTCCGACCGGGAAAACTGCGGCGGCGGCAGCGGCTCCGTGACATGGCTGTTGAGCGAGTGCGGCGCCAGGTCCGACAGCAGGTCGATCTGCACGATGTCCGTGGCTGGGCGCCCGGCGTGACAGGGCCCGGGTCAGTGGCCAGCGGACAATCAGACGGACCGGCGGCAAAAGCGAGGCCAGCGCCGGAAGTCCCCCCCCCCCACCCCACCCCCTGCCCTCATGGCGCACCGGATGTGGCATTGATTTGTGCACGCAGGTGCGTCATGTAGTCATGCGGGTCCGGGACCATCTGGAAATCGGCCATGCTCCGGAAGCGACCCACCGCATTGACCACCCCGAGGACTCGGCAGGACACCGGGTGCAGGCGGACCTCCTCCCGAACCTCCACCACCTCGTCCTCGGGCCCGGGCGCCGACTGGGGCTCCGGCTCCGGTGCCGGCGCCGGCTCCGATTGCGATTCCCCCCCGGCGGAACGCCCAGCCCGGGGGCCACTGGCGGAGGCGGCCCCCGGCGGCCGGGGGCGCCGGCGCCGGCGCGTCGTCACGCGGACCACCTGCTGGGCGTACGTCACCTCCAGGGCCAGGTCCTGCGGCCGGGCGATGGTCCCGACGACAGGATGGCAAAAGGAGTCCCGCGGGCGCCACCGGAGCTCGAGCACCGGCTCGGCCGCGCGCCCACT